AAACAGTACTGCTCCATGTGCTTTGAATTTGTAAAGAAAATGCAAGGATTTTCTATCCCTTAATTCACAAATTCGACTAAAAATATCCAATCGTGTTCAGTTAAGGTAAAAAGGGATTTGTTATATACGCATCTTTGGTGAGTCACTTTATTCTAACCAACAAGGAAAAAAATAATATTAAGTTCACTTGAAAATTGTGTCCTAAATAAGCACACAAAAACCTTCTAATATTATGTGGAAACTAACTTTAGAATGTATTTCTAAAAAGAAATGATTCATCAGATAGAGAAGGCCAAATACTATGAACTAATCAAATTGTGGAATTCTGATTAAATGGCTACTTAAGTTTAATCTACTTAAAAAATCAAAGGCAGCATAAAGACAGAGAAAGGTCCCGGACCATGTAGTTCTAGCTTTCATACGTTAAATTAAGATCCTTCAAGCGTATCTACAAGTCAGTTTATTTTCTAATTCTTAAACACACTCATAACTTGGATCTAAATGCTGCAACTGGGTATCTAAAGAGTGTGCCCTCCAAAACGGTTTCTTTAAACTTCCTGGAAGCAATTGCTCACATTTCAGCGCTTTCTCAGTTGGAATATGATCAATGGGACAAGTTCAATTTCCAAGACTTTTTTAAACAGCAGTCGGGAAGCCAAGTGAGAAAGAAAGTGAGGCGCTTCTTGCACCACCCACCCCGCAACGGAGGCTTCTCCTCCGCTGACTTCTCAATACACGGCCTGGACATTTCTGGTACCAAAGAAAAAGCTTGCCGGGACGAGGGAAAGTGACCAGAGCTAAACCCCCCCCCGCCCCCCCCGGGAATTCCTCTCGTTGCCAAGGCAGCGCAAGCCCAGGCATTGCGCTCCAGGGCAGTTCTAGAGACCCGGAGCTCAGCGCAGCCCCAGCCTGCGGCGCGGCAGCCCCGGGAGAGCGCGGAGCCCCCGGCTGCACCGCGCCAGCCGCGACCCGCACGGCCCCGCGGGCGCCCCCAGGACCGCGGTGGTAGCGGACACGCGGCTCCACTTACAGTGACACCATCCTAGGTGACAGCACCAGTGCAGCTTGAAGCACTTGCCATGGCTGTGAGTTGCACAGATCGAGAGCCCGTCGCACGGCTGGAAGTCGGGTCTGCGGGCGGCGCAGCTCCGCGCCAGGGCCTGCGCCTCGTCCACTTTCTCGCTCTTCCAACCCCGTTCGGGCGCCGGCGCGGCGGCCGCACTCATTTCCTCTTCCTCTGCACGGAGCCGAGGCCGGGAGCCCGGAAAGTGGCGTCTGGGCGGACAGAACGCTGAGCCGACTGCAGACGCGGGAGGGCGCGGCGACCACGGCGGCTGGTGCGCGGCGGTCCCAGGCTCAAGGAGGAGCCGCCCCGGGCTGCTGCTGCGACGGCGCTGGGCCTGCCGCCTCTCTCCGCGCCGCGCCCCCACGCGCACGCGCACAAGCACACGCGCGTTCTCGCTGCCACGGCTTCCGCCACGCGCCCTGGATGAGCCCGGCCTCCTCACGCACGCCTGGCCCAGGAGCGCAGGCGTTGGCGTCGCCTCCCTCCAAGGCGAGTTCCTGCAGCTCACTCCCTTGTTCCTCCGACAGACTCCAACGGAGGACCCTTAAGACAAACGCGCCTTGGTCGCCTTGTCTGGCCACGCAAACCAGCTCACAAGCACGCTTCCATCACACACTTCCTCCGAGCAGAGTCGCCTGGAGAATGGCAGACACGTGCACACGCTCCACCGAGGACTGTGCACACAGCTCACACGCCCGCCAGACCCTCTTGATCGGAGGCTCTGGACGCGTCTCAGAGCGAGGTGTTCTCCCCCTCCTCCCTCTCTCCCGCTCTCTCTCTGTCTTACACACACACCCACACACCCACACACACACACTAGCCTCTTTGCAGGCGCTTCTCACATTTCTCTCATTCACCCTTCTCATGCGACCAGAGAGAGTCCTAGGGGACACATATGCCCCCACGCACGCTCAATCCTGGGCCTGCCTTCTACTCCCAGGTCCAGCTCAGGATAGTGGCCAGCACCACCACTTCTTCCCTCTGACACCCAACTTTTCCAGTCTGCAACCCACCTGACTTAATGGGAAAGCCACCAACTGACTGCAGTCTGTGTGTGTGTGTGTGTTTGTGTGTGTATGTGTGTACCTTATGCACTGTTTGATGAAGCTTGCGTGCACAGATGTGTGTTAATGTAGCGTGGGTGATATCTGAGTGGAGTGTGTATGTGGCATGCAGGTGGGTATTATATAGTGTGTATATGGCTGTGTGTATGTGTGTGTGGCAGTGTGGTGCATGCGACTGGAATGGCAAGTATGTGCATGGTGTATAAGGATGGAGTTGGCATGGGTTGGTACACAAATAGTGCTCATGTCTGCCTTTCTTTTAGTGTTGGTGCCTACCCTGGCCAGTGGGTATGACTGGCCTTGCTGGTGGCTGCCTGCCACTCCCCCACACACTGGGCTTGCATTTTTCCCTCCTGGCCACAAGTTGCTCCAAATAGATTTTCCATGCCAGGCCCTCCTGCTGAGAATAGACCCCAAGCTGCATTCAGTGAAGAGAGAACAAAGCATTTGCTTTTAGGGAGCATTGTTGGGGATTGGTGTTTCCCTGCAATGGGACCAGAACCCAGCCTGGAATGCAGAAAGGGATGGGACACCCTTATTTGCCAAACGATTTTCAGAGTGCCGGAAAAGTGCCTATAATAACTGATGTTTCAGGGAAAAGAGAGCCTTTCAACACAAATGCTATGCTGGAACATGTTTATGCTTAAGTCCCTGTTCTCCACTACTTTCCTTTCCTGCTTTGCACTGAAAATGAGACTCATTCTGGTTTACAGAGAGCCAAATTCATCCTCAAGCCCTGAAAAGCCGTGATGCCATAGCAATCTTTCATCATTTTTCCTTTTATTTAACCTTGGCTTGAGAAGGAAAATGTAATTTGCATATATCTGATTCTAGTGAAATCTTTATTAGGGAATGGAGAGAAACTCACTTTGGTGGCAAAGGTATTTTCAAGAAATGTCTGAATCTAAATCACAAATGATGATTCCCCATTGACCTAACACTGAAACAAATGTAAACAAGAGGCTTCATCTTTCAACCTTCCTCCCTAGGTGCCCACCCCACTCAGTACATAGCCAACTTATAAAATCCACTCCTTCCTGCTGTTAAATACATATTCTAGCCCACCTCAGAATAACATGAGAAAAGGAAAAGAAAATCAAAGGAATGCACACCATGTTATTACCACACCAAGCCAACCAAGAATTTTTTAAGGAAGGGGTATTTCCATCTGTTCTACCCTGTATTTCTCTTCCAACCTATAAATTCCCTCTAATACTGTCCATAACATATAAGACCTAATAATAGAATCCCTTCAGTAATACTTCCACAGGCTTCTACTCTAAAGTGAATCATGTTATAAGATTCCACTAAATATGAAACATACCATCTTTGGCTAGTGAAAAATGAGCATGAGAAAGAATATAAAATAACGCTTTAGCCAAGAGGTACCATAAATACCCAAACATTCTTCTTACATTAGTCACATGACCAGAAACTGAGACATTTGTGTATTTTCTAATTCATGACACTTTCTCCACTCCCTTGCCCTAAATATGTTATTTTAACGTTTACTGAGTAGAAAGAGGTAAGTGCAGTGACCTCTCAAAAATATACAAACAACTTTTAGTATGTGTTGTTGGAATATCAGTTTTTAGAGTTTTATTATGGAAAATTCCAACCTACACAAAAGTCAAGAGACAAGTAAAATGAACTCCTGTACCCATCGCCTGATTTCAATAATTATTAAATCATCTAAAAAAATCTTGTTTCATCTATAACTTCACCCACTCCTGACCCTCACCCTGCTACTAGATTAGTTTGAAGAAAATCCCAGACATCATATAATCTTATCCACAATATTTCAGTCCAAATATGTGTCTCTAAAGGAACTTTTAAAAATGATAACACAATACCAGTATCACATAAAAGCATACAATTTGATCATAAAGATAAACTTGTCCCACAATTGTTAATCACATCTCTAATTCTCCTTTAAGAATGCCACTCTCTCTGCCTGGAATTTTCCTCTTCCCCCTTTTTCTCCCCTCTTCAAATTCAAATTCAGTTACATTTCCTCAAAGAAGTTTTCTCTGGCAAACCCAGACTAAGTTATATACACTCTTCCTTCATATCACTTATCCCAACTTTAAACTGTTTGAAGGAATTATGGAACTAATGACTTTTCCCATTTCTCTCTCCCCATACATACTGTAAGCTCCTTTTTTTTTTTTTTTTACAACTAGGATTTTAATCTTTAACTCTCTGTAAGCTCCTTAAGGGCACAAATATAACCTCTGTCTTGTTCACTATCTTGTTTCCACTTGTATTAGTCAGTTTTCTGATGCTATAACAAAACAGCTGAGAAAAGCATTTTAAGAGGAGGAGAGATTTATTTTGGTCACAGTTTCAGAGATTTCAGTCCATTGTATCTTGGCTTCATTGTTTCTGGGCATGTGATAAGGCAGAATGTTATGGTGGAGAGGGTGTGGGCTAGGAAATATGGCCCCAGGAACCATTTCCTCCAGTTAGTCCCCACTTCTTAAAGTTTCCACCACCTCCCAATACCACCACCAGAGGACCAAACCTTTAATACATGAGCCACTGGGGACATTCCAGATCCTAACTATAAAATCACTTAGCACAGAGAACAAATAAACATTGAAATAGGGAAAATAAATCCATGTCAGACTCCATAACATTAAGAAAATTCCAGCTTTGGTAAATCATTTGCATACATATGAATAATAGTTATTATATAGTTACTTTTCTTATAGCCCCATCCTCAGATAGCCCCCTTCCGCACCAACTCTGAGCTTAGCTATGCATATTAGCTTATATATTGCTGTGTAATAAATGACCCCCAAATTGAAACAACACACTTCTTCTTTGGGTGAGGACCCCAGGCATGCCTAGCCAAGTCATCTGCTTCAACATCTCTCACAAGGCTACAGTGAAGGTGTGGGTCAGGGCTGCATTCTCATCTCAAGGCTCAACTGGGAAAGACTCTGTTTCTAAGCTCACTTACTCACTTATCCTGGGCTAGATTCAGTTCCTCAGGGAACTGTTGGGATGTGTTTGACCTCCTCATGGACCTCTCCAGGGGATAGCGCACATGTGATAGTTGGTTTTAACAGAGAAAGCCTATCTTTAAGAAAAGTCAGGGCTGGAGGGATAGCTCAGTGTTGCCTAAAACATGTGAGGCCCTGAGGTGGATCTCCTGCACCACTAAGAGAGAGAGAAAAAAAAAGAGAGAGTGTGTGTGTATAACAATATTTCATAACCTAATCTAGAGAGGGATTTCATATCACTTGTGCCATTTTATAGTCATTAGAATCAAGTCACTAGATGTAGCCCTACAACAGGGCAGGAGGTTCCACAAGGGCTGGAATACATCATGGGGAACAATTTGAAAAGCTGACTACTGTACTATGTGACTTACTTTAGCCAATGGAAGACTAGTAAAGATGGCATGGTAAAAATTTGCAAAGAGCATGCTCACTGGGGTTTCCCTTTTCTTCCTATGCTTGGAACCCTGAGACCACTGTGTAGACAAACCTGAGTAAGCCTGCTGGAATATGAAATAACTTATGGAGAAGAATGGAGGCACTCCCCATTGATAAGCAGCCAATTCTCAACCAATAGTCTGTGAACCACTGGACCTATGAGTCAGGCTGTACTAGATCATGCTGGAGCTACCAATTGATCACAGAAGCAAATGAGAGTCCAGAAGAGATCTGGCAAGTCAGTCCAGAGCAGAACAACCACCAGTACAAATCATGGAATAGCAAGATAAATAAAAACGTTTGTTGTTTTAAACTACCACGTTTAGATTGCTTCTTAATAACTAAAGCTAACTGAAACATTCATCAACTCTTTTCTGTTTTAGACAAAGTAACTGAGGACTCAAGAGGCTAAATAACTTGCTCAATGTCACAGTGCACCAGGCACGGTAGGAAAAGATCTCTAGGACTTGGCATCGCAACAGTACAAATAGTTCAAGTCTAACTTCTGTTGTTTACTGGCTGAAAGACCATCACAGATCCCTTATACTTCTGAGCTTCAGTTTCTTTATTCAAAACAAAAACAAAAGAAACAGAAGTTTCTCTAGAATATCCTTAACACTCAAAGTTATGACTTGTCCACTTGGCCACAAAGCTAGGGTTAAATTCCTTTGGTTCAGGTGTCACTTGCGAATAGTCAAATACTCCCTTCCTAT